TCCATTAGCTTTTGTGCTCAAGGCTGATGCTCTACTGCTTCAGCCATAGCTTTACTTTGGATTTGTGTGTGTGCGCGCGCGTGCCAGTTCTGGGACCTAACCTCAGGGTCTGGGCATTGTCCCTGAGCTTTTGTGCTCAAAGCAAATGCTCTGCCACTTGAGCCATAGCTCTGCTTCTGGCTTTTTGGTGGTTAATTGGAGATCAGCATCTTACATGACTTTCCTGCCTGGGATGGCTTTGAACCAAAATCCTCAAATCTTCCCCCTAAGTAGGATCACAAATATGAGACACTGGCACCTTGATGCACTTACCTGATTCTGTAATTCATTATCTCATTGGATTTTCTCCATTTATGTCATGAAGTAAGCATTCCCATTTTGCTACTGAGGAACTAAGTTCACAAAGGTTTCATTAACTTTCATGTACCAGAGTACATGGCTTGTAAGGCTGAGGGCAAAGTCTTTGTTGGGTGAATGAAGAAGCACAGCAAATCCAGGCACTGGTGGCTCATGTCTGTAATCCTAGCTACTCAGGAGGCTGAGATCTGAGGATCATTGTTCAAAGCTAGTCCAGACAGGAAAAGTCCATGAGACTCTAGTCTCCAATAAACCAGAAAACCGGAAGTGGCGCTGTAGCTCAAGTGGTAGAGCGCTGGCCTTGAGCTGAAGAGCTGAGCGACAGTGCCCAGGCCCAGAGTTCAAGCCCCATGACCAACAAAAAAGAAGCACAGCAAAAAGCCAAATAAGAGATCTTCTCTCTCCAGCTGGTGGTGGGTGACCTTGGCCCTGGTGAGCAGCAGCCCCGACTAAAGGTATTCAAAGGACCCACAGTGCTGACAGAAAGCCCGCTGCCTTCCCTGCCAGCTGCGGCCGCCACCTTCCTCATGGAGCAACACGAGCCTCGGACTCCAGCCCTAGCACTTGCTTCGGGTCCATGTGTCTATGTGTATAAGAATCTGAGACCCTACTTCAAGTTCAGCCTGCCTCAGTTGCCTCCAAACCCTGTGGAACAAGACCTTTGGAATCAGGCCAAGGAGGTCAGTAACAGGAGATGGCATCCAGAAGGCAAAGATGGTAAGCACTGGGTACGGAGCAGGCCCCAGCTAGAGGAGTGGACTCCCAAGAGGGAGAGGTGGGCCATGACCCCTGTCCAGAGACAGCAGTGGTGGCTCTTCTGGGACACCAAGAAGGAAGGAGCCTGCCAGACTGGGGTCAGGACTGGAGCAAGGAGGTGCTGAGGAATCCATGGATAAACAGGGTAACTTGCAAAGCCCTGCTGCTGACGCTGGACTCAAATCAAGAGCTTGGGGCTCAGGGCTGAGGAAGGTTGGGAAGGAAATTGAAAGGAAAAGGAACCCCCAGAAGCATAAAAGGCCCTGACAGCATGGGTGCTGGGACTCACAGACTCTTTCTTTCCTGTCACAGGACCAAATTGACCCCCTAACCCTGAAGGAGATGCTGGAGAGCATCCGGTGAGAGCCCCTTACCCTCCATGTCCTTCTCTACTTCCTTCCTTTATTTATTTATTTATTTTGGGGGGGTCCGGTCCTGGGGCCTGAACTCTGGGCCTGGGCGCTGTCCCTCAGCTCTTCAGCTCAAGGCGAGCGCTCTACCACTTGAGCCACAGCTGCCACTTGGAATCGAACCCAGGGCCTCAGGCATGCAAGGCAAGCGCTCTACCACTGAGCCACCTTCCCAGCCCCCCTTTTCCACTTCTTTATCCCCAACCTCACCCCACGTGCCCAGAGGTTAATTCCTCTACTAAACTTGCCACACTGGCCACTCTCCTTGCAGGGAGAAGGCAGAAGTACCTTTGTCTGTACAGTCCCTCAGGTAAGAGTCCTGTGCAGGTATATGTATGGGTATGGGGGGGTGTTGGGGAGTAGCTGCAGACAGGCCCCAGGGCAGCCAGGCTAGGCTTGTAGATGTCTGTTCTCTGTGTTGCCCAGGTTTCTGCAGTTGGACCTAAGTGAAATGGAGCCATTTGTGAACCAGCACAAGTCCAAGTCCATCAAGCGGCAGGTAATGCTGCATGTGTGTAACTTTTGTGTATGTACGTGCTGTTGGAGCTTGAACTCTGGGCCTGAGCACTGTCCCTTAGCTTTTCCCTTCAAGACTAGCACTCTTATCACTTGAGCCACAATGCCACTTCCAGCTTTTTGCTGGTTAATTGAGGGGTTTCTTGGACCTTTTTGCCTGGGCTGGCTTTGAACCATGATGATCAGATCTCAGTCTCCTGAGTAGCTAGGATTATAGGCCTGAGCCACTGATGCCTAGTTTTCTTTTTCAATGTGATGATCACACAGGTGTAACTAATTCATCCAAAGAAAACATTTTGAAGAGGTGACATTGTGCAAAAAATGTACTCTTTACCTGACTTATGTAACTGTAACCCCTCTGTACATCACTTTTTCTTTCTTTTTTTTTTGGTCAGACATGGAGCTTGAACTCTGGGCCTGGGCACTCTCCCTCAGCTCTTCAGCTCAAGGCTAGCACTCTACCTCTTGAGCCACAGCACCACTTCTGGCTTTTTCTGCTTATGTAGTGCTGAGGAATCGAACCCAGGGCCTCATGCATGCGAGGCAAGCACTCTATCACTGAGCCACCTTCCCAGCCCCTATCACTTTTATAATAACAATTAAAAAAAGAAAAAGAGCCAGGCACTGATGGCTCACACCTGTAATCCTAGCTACTCAGGAAGCTGAGATCTTTTTTTTTTTTTTGGATCCAGTCGTGGAGCCTGAACTCTGGGCCTGGGCGCTGTCCCTCAGCTCTTCAGCTCAAGACTAGCGCTCTACCACTTGAGCCACAGCGCCACTTCTGGCTTTTTTTCTTTTTGCTTATGTGGTGCTGAGGAATCGAACCCAGGGCCTCAGGCATGCAAGGCAAGCGCTCTACCACTGAGCCACCTTCCCAGCCCAGGAAGCTGAGATCTTATAGTCATGGTCCTAAGCCAGCCAGTGCTCTTATCTCCAATTAATCACAAAAAGAATCAGAAGTGGCACTGTGGCTCAAGTGGTAGACTGCTAGCCTTGAAAAAGGAGCCCAGGGACAGTACCCAGATCTAGAATTCAAGCCCCAGGACTGGAGAGAGAGAGAGAAAGAGAGAGAGAGAGAGAGAGAGGAAGAGAGAGAGAAGGGGGGGAACAGAAAAAGCAGCTGGGTGCTGGTAGCTCACACCTGTAATCCTATCCTAGCTACTCAGGAGGCTGAGATCTGAGAATCACGGTTCAAAGCCAGCCCAGGCAGAGAAGTCCGTGAGACTCTGATCTTTAATTAACCACTAGAAAACCGAAAGTGGCTTGAGGTAGAGCGCTCACCTTGAGCTGAAGAGCACAGGGACAGCATCCAGGCGCAGGCCCATAGGAGACATTCCCTTTAAGAGGGCATCCCTAGCCAGGCACCAGTGGCTCATGTCTGTAATTCTAGCTAGTCAGAAGGCTGAGATCTGAGGAGAGGATTGTGGATCAAAAGCAGCCCAAGCAGGAAAGTCCATCAGACTCTTATCCCCAATTAACTACCCAGAAAAAGCTGCAAGTGGAGTTGTGGCTCAAGCAATAGAGTACTAGGCTAGACTTAAGCACAAAGAGGCTCAGAGACGGAGCCCAGAACCTAAGTTCAAGTCCCAAGACCAGGAAAAAAAAAAAAA